CAACATTATAAAAAGCTATGTTCTTCAATCATCAAGGATTTTTAAAGCTTTATGGTAATTATTTTGCAAAAAAAAGTCCAGTTTTAAAGTACTTTATTAATTTTATTTTATCGAAAATGATCTTAAGAATTCCAGGTAATAAAATGAACGCTTCTAAGTTCTAGAAGATAGAACATACATAAATATATTTTTTCTAATGTTAATTTTTTACTAAACAAAATATTTGTATTATTTCAATATAAATTAGTAAATAATTAGTGTTTTTGTTAGAGTAATAAAATCAAATTTATCTTTGCCATTCATAATACAAACATGATTAAGATAGGACTGCAGCATATATAAATGTTAAATGAGGCTTATATTTGTAAATAATGAATGATATCATCGGAATTTAACTAATAATTTTTTATCTATATATTCAAATACTAACATAATGCGTATAAAATGTTCGACAACGAGATAATTGTTTTTCTTGAAATCAAAAATGTACTTATAGCTAACATTTATACTGTCATGTAAAACTTTGATATATTTTAGAAAACTGTCCACATTTTAATATTTTACTGGATCTGTTCGAACCAGTATAATCCGAACCTATCCTATTCGAACAATAATTATTAAAAAAAATACTTTTTTTTTTCAAGTGTATCAAGTATACACTTGAGTTATTCAATTTTTGAACTCTAACTACTACTTGTATTATTGAAATTAATACTATGTAGGGCTCTACAATAACCATAACTTTTTAGATGTAGTTTTTAACTAGAAAAATATTTGAAGATGCTTAAGAATTACAATCGGTACATCTATCCAAACATACCGAAAATTATGTTGATACACGTGCTATGTGCTTGGCTTGGGTTAAATATTAACTTACAATTACTTGTTAGTATTGTTATGACATCATTACCATAATGGACAAAATAGTGTTGTAAAAAATTTATATTTAGGGAGAAGTCGTATTACAGGCTACAGTAATGGTTTATTGTAAGCCAAGATTTTTGTCATTCATGTGAGTTTTTTTTGTTCGCAGTTTTTCATAATAATAGTTGTATTGTAAACGACGCCTCGTGCACAGATAGCCTCAGTGGAATATGTGTGGAAAATGTGTGCAGATAAATACGACAAATCCAAAAGTAAAAGTTCCCATGTTCAGTTGGCTGTTATTGTGATGTGCTGACTGTTAGAAATAAATTCAGGCGGCGACGGTGGAATGCGTCTAAGACTTTTCGCGACAATTATTGTAATCCAGAAACGAATATGACAATAATATTATAATAGTGTCATGGAAAGTAAACACACAAGGTTGTCTAGAAGTCAACGTTTAAAGAATTTCGGCGCATTTAGTTCTGTATTTCATGTGTTTGTTTTTTTAGTCTTTGTCTACATTTGCATTTTGTTATTATTATTATTTTTTCTTGAGTCACCTTAACTAGATCGCATAATCGATTGTTTTTTCCCTGTCTCGTCGGCAGTTCCGCATCTAAGCGACGTTTTTATTGTTATTATTATCGGTAATATTACATTTATTTTATGGTTAGGTACAGAGCAAAAAGTACACGGGGTTAAAATATTTCCATTAAAATGTCTACGAAACAACAATAGTTTAGAAACAAAATAGTAATAAGTAAAAAAAAAATTCTTCTTAATCCTTCCACCTAGACCACTTACTATTGTCTAGACACGCGATGTTACATATTTTACGTATTGTACAAGTCCGAAACTGCCGCCGGTTTGATAATAATATGCAAAGGCGATCGACGAACACAATTGAAAAGCAGACAGTGATTTGTTATTTTAATTTTAATAACATTAGGCGACTTCGACCGGCGAGCCTAAATAGGTTCGTCTAGCATAGCTTTTATTTTTTTTACCATTACTATTATTACATAATGGTGTCTACCTGTCGGAATCGTTTTCGAAATTTATGTGCACCGACAGCAACAGACGCAGTCGATTTTATAATACCCGAACCTAAAAAATCATAGTAGCATAATATTCGATGACTATTTCGTCTGTCTAGTCTGTCGCATACCAAAGCCTAGACGGCTAGTTAAATGATAATAAAAAAAAAATCTTATTGTTTTGCTCTTCGAGCAATTCACTAAGGACATCGCGATACCAATGGAAAGAAATAAAAAATATTGTCGTTAAATGATAATCGTTAGACTAGACCGCCCAAATTCAATACAACGTCCGTAATATCTCTCCTAGACAAAAAACCAAATTATTCACAGACTACGTCTATGGGCTTCCTCGTGACCAACTCTACATGACCAGCCTCAATGGTTTTATAACCAACGCTCACGACTCGTTTGTGTATTCGTCGATAAAATAGCAATTAATATAACACGTTTTTATTGCTGACTTAAAATAAAAGTAAATTATTTCGGATAATAATTTTGACATCAATTATAATATTATTATAATTCCCAACAATAACATAAGAAAGTGGTTTCGGCTAATCTACTGGCCTTGTTATAAAAAATTGTTTTGGATGCTCTTCAACGCAGTCGGCGATATTTTCATAGAATCGATTATAAGGATATAAACGTGTCAATGATGTTCTGTTCGACTTCATCTGTCAGCAGCTTTTGGAGTTAAATAAACACATTTTTCCAGCTTTGATCTGCTACTGAATCTTAATGATTTTTCTGTGAAGTTAACAGAATAGCAAAACTCGTAGTCAAAACAAAATAAGAAAAAAGAAATCCTATGCATTTCACATGATTTATTCGTGCGGATTGCAGTCAATTTATTTTCCAGGTGAATTTCGCACGGACAATTTTAGTGATGTAGAACATTACGGTTTGGGAAAATCAGCGTTTTTGTTCAAATTGCGTTCTCATTTCGTGCACAAGTCTAAAACGCACTCAGACATAAAATGAAATAAAAAAATCAAATAAAACAAATGAGAGAATTTCAAGTGACCGTATAAACAGGACGTTGATCACGGTTTTTTATCGTATCGAATTATCGTACCGAATACTATTGTTTTTCGACAAATTTTAATATTAATTTTTTTATTTCCCTAAGAAAAACGCTGCGGTTGCGTAAACTTCAAGTCAGACTTGTGATATTTGCATCAGTTGCCCCGGATGTCCTAGCTGATAAACGCTCGGGTTTCTTGAACCAAAAAAATTAACAAAACAAGTATATAAATACACGCGTATCTATGAAAGGTATGCATCTATATAGACACGCTCACACTCAAGCACGTATATAAATATATATATATATAAATTAGTTTTTTATTCTATATCTATTTATAAAAACCACAGCAATTGCTGTGGGTTTTCAATGGTACGATCTAGGGACGTGGCAAACATATACGAATTTCAACTAGGGTAAACTTACGATACTTTGAGTATTTTCGTTTTTTTTTTTTAAATTATGAGATGGTATCGACCGTCATAAATCAACGTAAACAAGCTGCCCAGATTACAGCTGAGTGTATAATTACACATGATATTATTGTCTATGCCGGAGCAATACTCTCTTAATTATTTTGATCCCTCTTGACCACTTTTGGAAGTATGAATTGTATATGTATAAACCTGTTATATAGAGGGAATGATCGGATTTAAATAGTCTGGTGTCAAAGATGTCGAATTTTTAAACCGAATAAAATGTCGATTGTTAAACATTTTTATGATTTTCTTAATACTCTGAATTATATGTTGTGGATACTATTGAAAAAGTTTATAATAATGAACGATTATAAAATAAATAAGACTTTATTTTAGAGATTAAACACTAAGTGGATTAATAAATTAATTTTTTTTTATTTTCAGTTTAACAATAATGATTGGGCCTTATACAAATAACGATAGGTCAAATTTAATGTGCCTATAACAAATGTAACAACATAAAGTGAAATACGATTTCAATGCATCTATCCCATTGGCAGTCGTAATTGCCAATAGACTTTTATTTATTTATGTTAAATAATTTAAGTACAAATAAATCTTGATTTTAATACTTAATAGTTAGATTAACTACTGTGTAATTGTTGTGTGATGATGTAATCTGCGTGTAGCATTCAAACATCTCATTGTATTAATCTCGTATATTTTTGTTAAAAGAAAGTCTTTAACTATTTACACGTATGATTATTGACATCAAGTGTACTTTTAACAAATGATTATTTTGTTGTTTCAGATCAATAAAAAGTAGATAAATCATTAATTATATAACTAATAATATTATTTCAAATTTTTTAATGGAATTTTTTGGCAATTACATAATTGAAAGATTTTTACTCAGTGGCAATAGTTTAGTGTCTTTTAAGCATACCCTCAAACATGGTTAAAATGAAAATATCACATCAGTAACTTTTTTAAATTTAATTATAGTTCCTTATGTTTGTCGTATAGATAATTTGCTTAAAAAAAAAAAAAAAACGCTAGGTAATTTGTGATAAAAAGAGTTAGATATTTTCATGATACCTTATACGATAAATTTTACATTACTTTGTAAAAATTTCAAGTCTTATAGTTATAAATATAATATCATTTAGTTGTTTGTAGCAATTATGCCGTAATTTGTTATTATTGAATGTAACAAAATAAATATTTTTTTAATTGCTATAAATGTTTAAATTATAATAGTGAAGTTCAATAAATTTAACTGGAATAAAATAAGAACTTTCATTATCCTGAAAAACTTTGAATAATGAATTAATGTCATACTCTATACAGGAGTAGTATAGACTACTTAATACACGCGTGTTTAAGACATACATGAATTAATGAGCAAAGTTTAAACAGCAATTTTAAAAAGTAGTACTATGTGATATCTTTATTGGCCGACCTTTTACATATTTCTTGAATATTATAAGGTAATAGAACCAAATGTGCATTGTTTAACAAAAATAATTGGAACAAGGATGTTATTTAAAATGACAATGATAATTCATATTTGTTATTATCACATTAGTTGATAATGATTATCGTTCCTATATTTTGTTATCATAGAGTGATATTATTGATAAGAAAGCAGTCTTTAGCATAAGGTAGAGTGGTTAACAGCTTTTATATTTTAATTGGCTAAAAATGATTGTATTATTTCTATAGGCATAAGCTATAAATATGTTACGTAATAGTTAAAGTTTTTCATAGTACCTATAGTTTCCTAACCTGTTGGCTGAGATTAAAAGTTTTTAAAATAAAAATAATACTCGGTTGTACCAGATGATTATTGCAGTGGGTAATAATATAATAAGTTTATTGTTTCAACTATAATTTGTGATTATTAATTCGTTTTTATTTGAATCGCTAAATAATTAGGCGTTTTAATGTTATGCTGTTTCGTGCAGTGATGGTTTTTATTAGATTCCCTTTTTATTGGTTCAGTATTATTAGTTTGTTGCTAATAAACGTGTGCTCGAAAGGTTTCACTTAATTTGAAAAAATAAACATTGTGTATTGTTTGCTTGAATCAATTTTTATGATGGAAGACTATTGGAAAACAGTTATATGTAATCGACTAAAGAATAGGAACATAAGAGAACTTGATGGCTATCAAAGCCTTATTAATTTTTGTGAGAATTTTTATAAAATTTTTTTATTTTGCCATAAAAACTCAACAATTTTATTTTATATATTATCTTAATTTTAGATAATAAGTTGTATGAAAGTTCATTACTTTTGCGAGCTCAAAATTCTAAATTAGAATCACAAATATTACGAGGAAATTCTAGTGGTGATCTAATGCTGACAGAAAAAATCTCTACATTAGAACAGAAATTACTCATGCAACAGGAAGAACTAACTGAATTACACCGAAGACGTGGAGAAAACGCTCAACGAAGTATTGATTTGAATGCAAAACTACAACAAGCTGAAAAATTATTACTTGATAAAAATAACAGGTTTGTAAATTTATAATATTTTGGATTGTATTATTATTTTTTCATAATAACTTATAAATATACATTTATTTTTAATTTGTGAAATATATAGTCAAAATTTAATTTTNTTTAAGTAATTTTTTTTTCTTATTTGTATTTTTTACAAAAAAAATATTATGTTTGAATTTTAATTCCTAAATAATTGTAAGTTTTTATGTTATTTTGTAAATATAACATTTATTGCAGTATCTTTTGTATAATAGTTCTGAAAAAAAAAGTTATGAAATATGTTAAATATAATATATTATTTAATGATATAGAGTACAAAAAATAGGGATTAGTTTTATTTAATTTTTTTTTTTATAATAAAAACAATATTATAATACTACCCATATTTGTAAGATATTAAAAATTGCCAAATTTTTCGTAAATATGAGTACTCATTATATATTAATGTTGTTCGTATATAATTTAAGAATATTATTAAGGAAACCATGGAAACAAATTTAGTTTCTTATGGTTTAATTACTAATCTAAAATATCATATTATATTTTTATATAATATGATATTATAGAATATGATATATTAATTTAAAAAAAATATAATTGATCAATTTAATGTTTGATTAACTATTGATTATAGAATGTGAATAAATGTATATTTATTTTAAAGCAGTGACATTGAATATAAGTTTGTTCAAAATTTATCCAATTATCATATATATCTGTATTTAAAATAAATATTCAAAATGTAATTTTATTTTTCATTATTATTAAAAGACTGGTCATTGTTTAATAATATAAATTGATTTATCACAATTAAAGGAATAACATCTTGCATTTTATTTTTCCAACTTTAAAAGAGATCAAATGTATTAAACAGTATAATTAATGTTTTTATTACATTTGTTTATCTGATAATAGTAAAATATCGATTCAAAAATTATAATTTAATTTTCGATCTGCTAACTCAAAAAATTTGATGTGAGGTATTCTTTAAGCAACATTATGTAGTTGTATAATTTATTGAATTTTCATACATAATTTTGTTTTTTTCTCACATTGTAACATAAATAATCATAAATAACATAAATATAATCAACTTTTAGTGTGAATTTTAATGTTAACTAAAGTGCTTATATTCTCATAAAATTTCATGACATATTTAAATTATTGTGTAATCAAATTAATTAATTGTAATGGATTACTTTTCATTTTTTTCAAGCTTTGTAAAATACAAGGGGAGTTTTAATAGTTTGTACATAATTATATATTTAGATGTATTAACATTCATTATTATGAAATATTATTAAAAAATAAAAATATGTATTGGATTTTAATCATGTGTGACACATGATTAAAATTTTATTCCTCAAATATTTAAAGCACTTAAATATTTTATTTTATATTTAACTATAATCAAATCCAAATCCAAAATTAAAATTTTTTTATTAAAAAATTCAATTTAATAGCATAATTATCTAAAAAATTAAGAATCTAAATAAATAATGTGCAATTACATATTTTTAAATTAGTAATAACAGTTTTTTGTTAATATTCAAACTGTGTTTACTTTAGAAAATATTTTCTGTTGATTAATTTTTCATCTTATTATAACTCAATAATATTATTTGTTTTGAATTTAATAGTTTTGAAGACTTCAATCTAGTATATTCAGAAATATAATTAATTTACTTAAAACAATTGTATTATTACACTTGTGTTTAAATATATATTGTTTATGTATGCAAGCTAATATAAAGTAGACTTAGAAAAAAATTGTGATTTCTATAATCAAATAATCTATTTATTTTTAAATTTTTTAACAATTAAATTTCTTTGTTTATAAAATACTTGTTTTATTAATTAATTTTAAAATAAAATACATAGTTTTATACTGTTAAAAATAAATAGTAACTATTATAAATTAAAACTTAATTATCAGATTACTAAAATATATAAAAAACTACAAACATTAAATAAACAAGTTCAATTAGTTAGTATAACAAACTAAAAATAAATATTATTTTAAATATATTAAATATTCGTACAAAATGAGAGTCTCATTTATAAATTATATACTCATATATTTTCTTTTTACCAATTATTTTATATATCTTGTTTTTTTATTGTTTATCTTTGTATTTCAATGTTTTAGTATGATGATGAACTACGTTTAAAACTTTGGATTGGACCATTTAATTTTTTATACTAAGGCTATGTATATATATATATATATATATATATATATAT